ACTCCACGATACATACCCGGTCGGAATTCCATAGCACTTTCTCCCGTTCCAAGGCTTCGGAACGTACAGCCAATACCCTCCACCTTCACGAAACGGACGCATATCTATAAACTGCCAATAAATTCCCAACTCAGCGGTCGATTCAAGGATGAAAACAACAACAGCAACATAGAAAACAGTTGAAGCAGGCAAAATATTGAGGGAAATTTTCATAAATCTGTACTTCCCGCGCTTGCAGCCGCCGCAATATTGCGTACATGACATAAAATTACAGACTAGGTTTACTTGAAAGTGCAGTGATTTTCTTACTCACGTAGAACCTACTGCGCAGTTTTATGCCTCGTTGAGTATATGTTACATTGCAGAATGAGGTGCAGTTGCTGGTGAAATAGGCAGAAGAAGAGCAGGAAGAATGCCCAGTGGAAACGCGGCTGCAGGAGAAGGTAGTTAGCAGCTTTTAGTTTTTCTCTTTCCTCCACTTTCCGTTCCGTCTCTATGTCATCAGTTCCAGAATCGGGTCGCATCCGTGATGCCAAAGAGATTTTTATATATATGCACCGGAATTTCCGCGTGTCGCGGAACATTCGAGCTCATTGGCTATTTGATCATCTCAATAAGACCGTGAAGATCGAAGACACGCCAGGAGAAGTGCGTTTCTCACTGTTTTTTACATTTATTCGATTTCTCCACAAGCTATTACGAATCGGTATTCTCTTTCCATGAGATCTTTGATAAGGCATAGCCGCGCAATGTGGCTTTGGGGCGGCTGGGGGAGCCTTCACATTGCGCCAGGATTACGGGCATGCTTAGTTTCAGGACTGAGCCCTGACCGAAGAGTCTCCGGGGTGCATAAGCCATTTTTGTTCTCTTCGAAGGTCCTTCTTTCGAGGTTCATTCCTAGGGCCCTTTCTACAGACTGATCGCCCTCCCCACCTCCCGAGGTATATTGCGCCACGAGATCATCGTATCACGCAATGGAAGCCTTTTCTCGAAGTCAACAAATTCCAAGATGTTTTAACTGTTGGAGAAAAAAGAAGTGTTTGGAATCTAGCTCTCCATGTCTTTATTACACTGATAGAAGTTTATCATCTCCTGTAGCTCCCTCTCTGTGTCACATCCAGAGGAAACGGAGAGGCTTCTACGATTCATTCGAGTACATAGTGTAATTTCAAGAACGTGGTCTATTCAGAATCCGTAATAACTTCGTATAGCATACCACAGCCTTTTTGCGGCTTCTCTGGGAGTGGAGCCCTAGAAGGCACCCATAGGCTTCAGAAAGCACCCTTCCAAGCTCACTTTTACACACGAGTGCATTGATGGGTGTTCTCTTAAAGCTCCTTGTTTCTCAAAACTCGGGGCAATCTAGAGCGGAACGAATAAGGCCTATCTCGATCTTGAAAGGTCACACAAGGGACGGTGGAGGCTGCGGTTATATGCTTTAATATACTCATTTTCATAATCATTTGTCATTATTTGTTTATTTACTTATTTATTTATTCGCTACAGAAGGTAGACGTGAGAATTTCTCTGTATCTGTCATATTTTCACTCCTTTGGAGCACTGCTAGGCCCGATGAAATAGGGTGGAAGCATCCGGTTTCTAAAAAGCTCACAGCGGCACATTCGTACGCCTTGTGACACCGAACCACTAAATCTACCATGATCACTGCCATCTAAACTGAATTCAGATCAAATCAAGGTCAACCATGGAGGTAGAAACTTTGGGGTTTCTGGTGTTTGACGAAACTCCGATAAATGCGATGTTCTTCCTGGGGAGTGCTACTAAACTACTTATCTAGTCTGATGCATCGATCCCTTCCTTCCCGTTTCAGTGCCTAGGAAATGTAGTATTTATTGGTGGTAATTCTCCAACTAATATTCCACCGTTGTTATTATCCTCTCTTTCCCTACAATGGGATTTCGAAGTATACTCTGCCATCATTTCAGTTTCCCTTCCAATGTGAAGTGTTTAATTAGATAATACTAATGGTGATATGTTCAAGGGAGAGTACAGCAATGAAATGAGTGTGGTTGGAATTATTCCAATGGATGGTGAACCCGATGATTGTGTCGTTGGAGAAGAATTTAGAGTTTGCCTGACTACCAAAGTGAGGTTTTGCTTCTACCAATTAAATGTGTTTCGCGGTCAACACAAGGATGCCATCCAAATCAAATTTCCATGCAATTCCAGATTACTTACATATCACGCTACTACCGTCATGTATTTCGTGCTCGACCTTAGTCCGTCTACTATTGTTGCGGTATTTTTTTTTACCAGCATTCGTTCTAATTCTCATAGTTATGACAAATCGTTTTTTTTTCAGGACGAAGAAAGTAACTGTTGTTTGCATACAAAACTGTTGGAATGCTTGCGACTTAGTATGGCTTCCGTCAGCAAGAGTGTGGGTTTTATGTAGTTTTGATGGAAACTTTGAAAATTTCGAATTTGTTTTTCGCGTAACTAGTTAGCGGGGGCGACGGACTTTTGGTGCGTCCGGGTTGCACGCGGCGAATCGCGCGGCGGGCTGCGCGGCGATCCGGACGAGGCAAGTCTTCGCGGGCTTCTGCAGTGGAATTCAACACGTCAAACGTGTGCAGATCGCGGATAAAATCCGCAAGGTTCTGCGAATTACATTCCAACGCATGGAGATTTGAAGGCAGCGGTGATGCTAAGGAAATTTCAATAGGAAGAGTTGTGAACAAACTAGCATAGTGCTGTTACGACCATCAGGGCGCTCATGCCGTTGGTGGGGGTTATTCAACTGAGTGAGCCAATTACTGCGCTTAGAACTGAGCCTTAGGGAGGGGAAGGATTCTGGGAGATGATGTGAGCAAGTTTGTGCTCTCCCCGATGTTTCTCCCTTCTCCTTGGCTTAGTCCTATATCACCCACCATCGGCCATCTTTCGAATGTTCCCCTAAGGACATAAAGTGCTGCGATCAGCAAAGCAGACGTAGTTTACGCAAGATAACTCTCTCTCAGAGGGAATTCCTAGTGTTTTTTATTCGCTTTGATGATGGCGCTGACATTTTCATGAAGTTTCTTTTACTTTCATCTATTTCCGCTCACATCTCCTTAACGACGCCACTGTCCTCAAATTTTTCCAAAAACGGAACGTTTTTCAATCCGTAGAATCACAAATCCGCAGAATCATGTGAATCTTATTTAAGAATCCTGTAGCATGCTTTGACGTATTTCAATCTCTATGACAGCACAAAGTCTTGGTCTTGCGTCAATCAATCGCGTCCTCCTCGGAGCTAAATAGTCCCACACAAGTTAGCGTAAGTTTTGTCTCATAGACCATGCCTACAGCGGGAGCGGAGGTATTCGCTGATTCCACCAATAGATCTAGAAGTTCCTTTCAACGTCCTCATAGATGTAATTTCTTGCCAAAATTTTAGCTCGCGCCTAGCTATGGTTTTACTGCAGCTCAAGTTTTTTTTTTGCTGATCAAATATTAGGTGGACCATGAAAAGGCTCGGACGTACGTTAATTGCATATAATTGATATAAAAATAAGACAGGATTTAGATGTGCAAATCTTCTTTGCATACTTAACCTTTGTAGACTATCCATGGCCATGCTCGCCACTCTCCCTTTATAATTTTTTTCTTGAGTTTTTGGAGGGCAGACAGTCGCCAGTCATCGATCATAATCACCAAAAAATCCCATCATCGGCGTGTTTTCTTATTACGCGTGAAGGAACTATTTAATTTTCTGTTTTAGTTCACGATTCCTGGAACTCGTCGAACATTTTCTCCACAAATTTATGTTAGTGTATGTGTATTCATACCATTTCTAGCTTTTGAGCAGGATTTGGTGGGTATCTCTGTGTTTTCTTTCTAGTTTGATTTCATTTTTGTTGTTTGTCGTCTTCTGGCAATTTTTCTCTCATGCTAAGAAGGTTTAAAAAATAATTTCAGGTGCTTGTGCAGGGAATACTGTTAACCGAAAGTAATATTAACAGTGTTCTCCATACTGTAACCCAGAAGTTTAATGATTTGTTGAATAGCTTATACGTTTACTCTAGAGGAATTCTACAAAAATGGGCCACGCTAAGACGGAGACACAGAGTTAGTTCTATGTTATCCAGCTGAATTAGATTATTTATTGGTATAGGTGTTTCATGTCATCCAAAATTATCACATCATTAGCTACTTCTTTCGCCAGTGACAATTTGATGCAGCGAGCGTGAATATTGAAATGCATAGCGAAGTACGAAACACAAGAACATCATCGTTGTGTAACGATGGGTCACCGAACAAGGTAAGACTGTTTCTGTCTTTGCGGCGCTCATGTCTTTAGTAGAACATTCAGAATAGGGCATTAAAAACCGCTGGTAGGTGACACTAGGATTAAGCCACCGATTGGGATTAAATATTAGGGAGAACAGCGGTTGCTCGCATGCTCCTCGGAACCGTTCTCCCTCTGTAAAGCTTAGTGAGTTTGTAGTTCTATGAGTGACCCACTCACTTCAATGTTCTTCCTCAGGACATGAGCGCCGTGTTCGTTGTTGTCTCTTTGTTATTGTATTCGAAAATCATTTTGTTACCACTAGATTTTTTCTAAGTCGTCAAGAATCTGGACCGTTTCAGGTTGTTAATAGTGCTCCACCAAAGCCAGCTCCCGTTCCTCCTAGAAACATCATGGATTATGTCAAAGGAGTTTGGTATGTAATTTCCAGCTTTTTTAGTATTTAATCATGTTTTATTTGTCTAGAAATGTTTGATACTTTTGCGGCCGTTTAAAGTTGAACGCTTGTTTTTATACGAGGACTGTTAGTGCTGCTGAAGATGAGAATACAACACGAAATCCACTCTGTGATGGATACATTCATCCAGAATGGGCTCTTATTTTCATGTTGCGGCTAGGTCTCATAGCCGTGCAAATGATGCATGAGAATACGCAATCGAGTTCGTTTTGGAGCATATTGTCGTCAGTTTATTGACATGGCTTATTATAATAGATATCACTTGATTTTCAGATATAATTGTGATAACTGATGCTGTATGTGGCATGCCGGATGCGAATGCTTTGCAACAACTTCTTAGCGTCAACTACGGAGCTACACAGTATCATGCTCCTTCATTCAGGTAAAAATTGCCTTTGAGAAGTTTAAACGATTAGCCGTCATGATTTTTGAGAACCTTTGGTGTTTTCGATTCAATTACTTATCTTATTTCTCTGATGTACTATTCAGCATAGTATACATCACCATTATTACCAACATATAACCAATGCGAGGGTGGGTATTCAGTGTCTCTCTTGTAGAATTTCATAGAGTTCTGATCGAAGAAATATTGGATGTCGATTGAACTTATCTCGGAGTGATTGAGAGAGGAGAGCGGATAGTCGTTCGTTGACGCAGGATTAGTGCTACAAGGCGGAGCTAAAAGAACTGACCGCCCGAGAGTCTCCAATTTTTTAGGAATTTTCTTAGCAAGGCGGGCTCGAACGACCTCAGAAAAAATAGATTTTGTCTTCCTTTGCTTTCAAGTTGAAGGCGTTGCCATCAAGCTGTCAACGATTCTTCCCATCACTGACACTGGTATTAGTTGATGCCGGTCTTCAGCGCAAAGCCCTCCCGTATTGCGCCAACGACTCAGGAAGTTCGAATTCAGAGGGAGTTGGGTTTTTACTGTCAGAACTCCCGAATCATTTAAGCAAATCTACTGCGGCTCGTGGATTTGTTAGCACACTGCACCCAGTCCACATCACCAATGAGTATTATAGAATGGTCATCGAGGAACTATGGGAAACCAACAGAACTTGATGATGTTGGATTGGAGTTAAGAACTGATTGGCGGGACTACAATTTTTCGATCGATACTCTATGAAGAGTCCACAATAGAGGCACTGAATACCCACCCTCGCATTGGTGATATGTTGTTAATAATAATGATGCATACTATGCTGGATAAGTAGATCAGAGAAATAAGATAAGTAATAAATCGAAAAACACCAAAGGTTCTCAAAAATTGTGGACCGACCTAATATATTTTTTGCACTCGTAGCCAATTTGAGAGATTCGTTGCAACTGCATATGTTCTTTCCCACTTTGTAGCGGTAGTTGCTCAGCCTACGTATAGTACGAACTCCTAGAATGTTTGCTTAGACGATAGAACGTGAAATCGTGACTGGAGTTTCTGTTCGAGCATTCACTTTTACTTGTCTAGTATTACTTCTTCCCTCGTATGTGATGAGAAAAATTCTATCAGGACATCTAAAATTATGAGAACGCCATAATTAATCAGCTGCAAAGGACCGTATACGTAATGAGGCTTGTTTTGGCAATGGCATCATTCGACTATTTCATTTTCTCGCGATTGGCGACGTTCGGCTTGTTACCATTCCGAATTGTCGTGCCCGCTGTGCGATCATGGTGGATATGAACGAGATACACGAGCCGTTGGTTTGCTCAGAAGATGAGGAGGAGGTTGATGAAAACGAGTACAAACCGCTGAATCCGTTCCACAGGTGTGATGGGTGTGTCTTCTTTCTTACAAAGGCTACTAAATAGTGAGGGGGTTACAGTGTAGAAGGGCAGGCTGACAAAATTGTGTGCGTTTCTGTCGTTATCCATTCACATAAACTGAGTGAAATCGCTCTGAGCTTCAAACTTTCTAAAGCTGCCGTTACGCAGGGTCTGTTCGAAATGTCCGAGGAAATTTTGTGTTTTTGAATTTGGATTTCGCTCTTTCTTTTGAGTTTTCCCACTCCATGAGAGTTTTATTTTTAAAGATTTTTCCTGCTTCATTTCTGCGATTCATTTCATGAATTTGTTCGTGAGCGATAAACCTACAATTTATGGAGCTGAAACTCGATCTGCTCTTAAAGGAATCTTGCGCGGAAAAATCATGATTCTATTTCAGCCATAAATCACTGGCTTGAGACTCATTATCCACGATAATAGTGAAAAGAACTGAAGTATTGCTTTCGTTTTGATTAGAAATTCGAAAACTCGAAAAGGCTGCTACGCGTTCGAATTGCCCACGGACGTCTTTCACGAATGCTGGCGACGGGGATGCTCAAACTTGGTTCTTGGAGTGCATTCACTAGAAGCTCTTTCTGGCCTTCTGCTTCGTTGCATTCACATCTTACACTTCTACTCCATCCTATTCCATCGATCGATTTGTCTCCACTCTCCGAAATCGCGCGCTTTAACCCGATTCTCTCATTGCGTCGCCTGGTACGTAGCCGGCCAAACGCCGTCTTCTTTCCATGCCTCGCCTGGCTCTGCCTCCTGGTCCTTCGATGGTCCATAACGTGTAGTTTTTGTACGTTTGTTTCTCTTCAGAAACCGAATCTTCATGCGTGAAACTTTGTGTGCTATTTCCAGTGATCACAACTGACATATTCATGTTAGGAAAGAGTGCAAGAATTTTCCGCGCAAGATTCCTTTAAGCTCGAATGTCGCGCAGACCTCGTCAAACAGACTGTGACAAATTTGAGAATACTGACTATCGAACGAGATTTTCAATATATCAGAGAAGTATGATATAAGCTTTTAACGCGTACCGCAAAGCAGCAGGAAGCAGCGGGTCATATGGATATGATGCCGCGATGAAGCTGAATTATGGCCCACTGCGCGAAGTGGCTGTCCAGCCATTTCGTCAGCTCTAGTCGTCATGCATTCCATTGATGGTAACCGTGTCTCAGCGCCGTTTCTGGCATGTGCATCTATCTATTGATGTGACTGGGAGTTTCTTACCATTCTTTGGCTGTTTTACGTGAGCACTGTCTATTTGTCCTTGGCTGGTCCCGGCTAAACCCCTTTGCTTCCGTGCTGCCAAAGGGGAATCCTGGTTAGCTGACGCAGTTGATGCGATCATGGATTGAAGAGGTTTGAAGGATATCGTAAGCTTCTCAATAAATGCCGGCTACAGAGGTTGCTATATTCAATACCGTATCGTATGAGCGACAAAGTACAAAAAGACAGTGCGATTATTGCATTTGTGCCGTTTTTTCTCTGACTCCTCCACAGCTCTTGAAATTTCAGCAGCTCTGCTTTGTTTGTGTGCTTCCAAAATGCCCTTTCAAGACAATGTCCTTTACTAATCTCGATGAATGAGAATAAACCACCAATTACGGCACAGTTGTCAAAAGGAGTCTTTTGGCAGTATCTAAAATAATAGAGATTTAATGGAAACCTTTTACAGATGTAGTGAGGCATCGTACATTTTCGTCGATATATCTAGAATTTTGTACATCCGCTTGAGAGAAGGGTTCACATTAAAGCAAGGTCAGCATTTTTGGAGTTTTCAGTTTTCTTCTTATTTATTTGAATTAGGTAGCTTCCGTCAGTTTCCCTGATTTTTTGTTATAGTTCTGAAATCATCTACTAAATTCTCGTTTTTAGTAAGGCTCTGCAATAATGATACGCGAATCATGATCGTTTTGAGTATGCCATTTCGACCGTTGGTTTTCATAGATTACACCATAATAGCGAATTGGCCTTCCGATAAGATGACTAGGTAAGTTATTGGCATTGATGTATTCACCTATTTATTTTATTTGATTTGAACTTTTTTACGATATGATGCTGAGATCGCCAAGTCAAGAGATTGCCTTTTCTTGTTGATCACATTTCTTCGCAGTTTATTTATGAAAATCGATTGTGGAATGATCTGAGTATTTAAATTTGGAGCTGGAAGTCACGCGGTCATTCGACTCTTCGGCTCTGCCTGTATGTAGCTTTAGAAGGAATGTTGTGATTTGATCTTCTCGTATGGCTTTTATTGTCTCCTTTGACCCATTATTCTTTTCCCTTCACTCAATAAGATATCTTTTGTCTCAAAGCACAATGCAGTGGCCCTCCAGCTACACTCTGACTGTGCGGGAGAAATTATTCTGAAGCTAAGAAAGTCCTTCACCTAACAACTCCATGACAGAAGTAGTACAACAACATGGATAGTAACGAAAATACGGGGTCTCAAGATGAGTGCACTTGAAGTCTACTACAAAAACATTTGAATTAAACAATGAGCAACTAACGAGGGACGATTCAAGAAACGTACTGCCATACTGGTAGCCGTTCATGGGTATTTTTGTGTACTTCAGAGTGGTTTGAAGAATTGATGGCAGAGTAGGTTCTCAGCAGCATATCTATTTTCAGAGAGGATGTAACAATAGATCTCGTCATACAGGCTCCATATAATGAACTGAAAGACCTTTTATCTGAAGGACAATTTCCTAATGCTGTGAGGCAAAAGCTTGTCAAGTCGCTAAGAAACCTGATCGACGAGTAAGTTCCCATTTTTTAACTTTGTTTTGTATACATAGTCTTATTTGTTGTGCGTTATGCAAGCTGGAAATTGCTTTCGTAATCGATTAAATATGACAGTATGGAATGGATTTTTTCCAGTAAAGTAGTTTTCCTCTGGTTTAGAATCACGGCCTGACTAATGATCACTTCCTGAACCACTGCTTTGTGTTCCAATAGGAGAAAGTGGGATATGATATCATGAACGGAAGTGCTTCCTCCGTTAGCTAGCAAGTTACATACTTTGCAACGACTAGTTTTCCGACCTTTTCATTTTGATTTCCGGTAGCATACCCGGTTTACAACTGCAAAATATTTTGTAGTTGCAAACAAAATCGCACACTTGCGATGGTCGCGAAGAACTAGAACTTATCACGCGTGCTTTTGAATGTTCTTGATGCTGTCTGACGTCATGTGTATTACTACTACTGCATTACGTTGTGGGAAGCGAAAGTACGAAAGAGGAGCAAAGTTGCTTGAGCTTGATTGAAAACGTTTTAATACGTGAACTCTATTGGTTCCATAGAACAAAAATCGATTTCTTAATGTATTGACATACCGTGCTTTTTTTCCAACATCAACGTTCCAGCATTCTGGAAGCTGATCGTGTACTGTTACACATCCACGCTTTTAATAGCGATCCTGTATTCTACACCATTCCGATCGGAGTGTCGACAAAAATACCGATATTTACATTGGAAGACAAAACGAAGGAGATGAGCGTTTTTCTCGGGTAGGGATTGTTCATGTGGTTACGAGTGGTTGCTTGGTGGGAGGTGGAAGTAGGTCATCTTTTGTGATTCACATTTGCTTCAGAGTTGAACAAGAAAATGCGAAGACCTTTGTGGGTTTCTGGAGTTCACTGTGCCAATTAAATGAGAAGTCGTGGTGAGTAATGTTCCAGTAGAGTTATTGCATTTTTGT